TGAATTTATTCACATTATCCTAGTCTCAGAAGTTACAGTATTTTCCCTTATCGGGACTTCATATTCAGTTTAGTATTATCTTCTTTCAGCTAAGAGAGCAGAGAGTATGTATATATATATATATATATATATATATATATATATATATATATATATCGGTGGGAAGGCCCCTATTAGGCAACCTCTGATCAGATGGTAAGTTATATACCGAGCCTACTGTGGTCCAGCGCCTATGAGTGAGCCCAGAATGGCCGAGATATAGAGCCTAGTATGGTCGAGCGCCTATGAGCGAGCCTACTATGGCAGGGCAGTTACACATACCGAGCCTTATAGGGCCGGACAACTATTTTACATACTATATGGAGAGAGTTGAGTCAGTATCAACAGGTAAGCATATCTTTAGATTATTTTTGACTCCCAGTTACATTCAGTTATTATATCATCAGTTCAGTTTCAGCTTTCAGTTATTCTGTTGCCTTACATACTCAGTACATTATTTGTACTAACGTCCCTTTGCTGGGAACATTGCATTTCATGCATGCAGGTCCTGATAGACAGCTGGATAGACCTTCCCAGTAGACAGAGCCAAATATCAGCTTGGTTGGTAAGCTCCACTTCCCCGGAGTTACCAGGTCTAGACCTTGGAGTCCGTTTTATATATATATATATACAGGTTTGATGGGTAGGTCGAGGCCATGTCCCGACCATGATACAATTCAACTATCTCTAGAGGCTTGTAGACAAGTCCTGTATAGTTTGTNTATAGAGTCTTGTTTATGGGTGTGTTGTGCACCACACTTATAAGCAGGAGGCTACAAGGTATTTAGGAGTCTGTTACCCTTCATTCAAATCCAAATCGTGCTATAGAGCTGAGTTATAAGAGTTCGAGCCAAAGCTTATGTTTGCTAATGATGTAGCGATGCTTTCAATTAAAAAAATTATAGCTAGCTAAAGGTCTAATACAACAGCAGGTAAAAGCATTAGTAGAGAGAGAATTCTTGACTATGTGGCCCTGTTTGAGACCCTATTAGATTGTGCTTACCATATGTGCGAATTTCCCATTTACCCTTAGACGGGAATATCTAACATACCCCGTGAATAGCAGGCCATGGGAGTATCAGAAGGTAAAAGTATAAGTTTCAACATGTAACAGAAACAAGGTGAAGAAGGGTACGAGGTACCTAGTTAATGAAGACTGTCCGAATTTCCATGCCAGGCAGAGAAATAAAAGGATTCTAAGTTACCTTCAACAGAAATAGAGGTATGTACAATTGGCCACACCCATCTCAGTTATTCCCTATGGGAGCTAACATATATAGTTTAAGAGAAGGATGGGATATCAAGATCCAGCTTGGGTTAGAGTAACCCGAAATGGTGGATTGAGCCAGGGGAGCTAAAAGTGAAACAATATTTTGTTGAAGTTTTCAGAATAATGCGATAAACAGAAGCATTGGCAGGAGAATAAGAAGAGAGTAAATGAAGTATTATGAGTAAGATGTGATAAATGGGTGATAACAGTAAATCAAAATATGATATGATGACAGAGTCTATAGTCAAGTGAAGGAAAAAAATAAGAGGTGACATGTCTTGAGACAATAAAAGAGTATAGGCTAAAAGTCATATCCTCATTTCGAGAAATGAGTTGGTGCATCCAACATGATTACCAAAACAAAAATATTTAGACCCCGGAGTAATAGAAATCAGCATGGGCTAGTGAACAAGATAAATTGACCATCAATTAGGGATCGAATAAGGTAATGATAGTCGACATCAAGAGAATTTCAAAGATCACGTTCCAGCAATAATACAATCGACAACAGAAGAATAACCTTTATAGGTCACTCAGGAAGACGCTTCCCTAAAGCAAGCACTTTGAGCAAAGTTAAGCTTAAGGGACTAAGTATTCCAGTTACACTAGGTATCTGATGCCGTCGTGTGTAACATATTCAATTATCCTTGGTACATAAGGGTTACTGCAAGGCGAGTAAGTGTCAATAAAGACATCAAAAGACGTCGAAGATGAAGAGGTAAAATATGTATAAGTAAGTCTTCATAGCATTAAATGTTAATACTTCCCTAAAAGAGGAAAGATGGTGTAATATGGTATTAAGTCGGAGTTAAGTGGTTCAGGTAACTATGGAATAGTAAAGGAAGAATGCAGTAAATGGCAAAAGGAATGATATTTTATTTATTCAGATCCTACAGACATGATACGACTCCAGAATATTACGCAAGCACGACATCGGGGAGAGGCAGCAAGGGTTCCCACACCAGATGTTATTGATAAATAAGTGCGAATG